TGGGAGCTGTTTGCTTACTCTCCACCCATTTTGGACTTGATGGGGTGCCCAAATGGGGGTGCCCAACTGGGGTGTATTAGGTAAACCATGTGTAATCCCCAAAACCTGAACCCCGATAAGATTGTAAATCCCTTAAAGCCTGCAAAGCTTTGTAGAAACTCTATAGACCCCTCTAAACCTTTATCCCTACTAAACTCTTCATATGGCAAACCCCGTGATTCTAGGAGATTGTGCATGGGACTTGGGGCAGCTCACCGACTGACAGGCACATACTTGGGGAGAACAGGCCTCCAGCTATCAGGAACTCGGAGATCAGTAGACCCCCTCAAGTAAAAGATCACAATGCGCATTTGGGCATCGTCCCATGTGTCGCCCCATTCCAAGGCTCTGTACATATCGCGCAGATCAGAGGTCATATCCACCTGAGAAGAGACGGAACCCACAGAAAATGCACCAACAAGCTTCCCTCAGCTTGGCACACAAAATGGCTTGCTTCTGAGGCTCACCCGGAATCTGGTCGCGGCAGTCATAACTGCAGCTCTGCTGAATCTCGATGCACTTCGTGGCAAACTTCATAGGGTACACCCTGGGCTTGGTTGCTAGAGGTACGGATTTGTTAACAGTCTATCTATGGTTCTGGCTGACTTCTACAAATGTATTCAGGGGGCTGAGTGCTCTTCAAGGCAGCAGATCCTTTGTAGGTCGGCTTGCCATCTCTTTTGCGAACACCCTTGATAGTGGTCTTAACATTAGATTTCAGCTCGCCCTTCTTCAAGCGGCCATGGGCCAGAGATCTGATCTGTGGCGTGTTGCCCAGCAACATCGTGGGCTTGGCAGCAGGATGCCCAAAGTATTTCATGTAGAACTTCTGGATGTACACCTTAGATGCGCACGCTACAGTAAGAACTTACAAGGGAACCTTCCTGCAACAGTGTAATTTTGACAAGACGCCCGCATGCCCAAGTTGCTGAGGTGTTCGATAAGCCACTGAAATCGATCACTTTGAAAGAGTAAGGAGGATGCTGGTTGTTCGACCAGGTATACTCCAAAGACAGCCTCGATGCAGAGTAATAATAATACCGTCCTGCAGGAGCCATTGTGTTTATTCCCTCAGGATTCTGTTTTCAACTGCTTGCAGAAGATTTCCGGAAACCTGTCCGAGCTGCCATCCTATTCGCCACGTTCACTGCTCTCTTGATATTGCCACCCAACTGCTGCAGCAAACGCCCAGCATGCGTAGCAGCTGCCCGAATTTTCCTTCCAAGGCCACAAGAAGGGCCAACCTTAGATTTCCCAAGCCAGGCAACGCAGTAAATACTTCCAAGGGACAGCAAAGTATGACTCAGCCAAGGAACGAAAATCCAGATGCGCTGGTCATGTCAAACACTTGGGGGTACTGATGGAAGAGGACATCAAGAGCAGCAGCATTCAGGCCAGCAGCACGTGCAGACCGGGCGACCCGCGCTTTTCCAGCATAGAACTCTATCACGTGATAGCGATCTGGAATTGGCGCTGGCTGCATCCAGCTGAGTAAGAGCACTGCTGTGATCAGCACCTCAGATATGCAAATGCACGAGGTCTGAACACAACAATCATGGGTACTTATCAAGTACATTAGATTGTTCCACACTCGGACACCAGCATCATGACACTAATTCATCTAGAGGGCTTTCGGGCATTTGAGGGCAAACATCCGTCGGAGCACCATCTCTATCTTAGGCGATACGTCCATGGCCAGGAAGGCCACAGGCTACACTGGGATCACACAAAACTGCTCTTGGATCACACGTATGCACGGGAGAAGCAGCATGAAAGCCCTCAATGTCAATGTTCAATTTTGTCAGGCAGACCGTATACATCATTGGCACCGGCTTGCAGAAGACCGTGCCGAGCAAAGAAGCCGAGGCCCGGTCTGAGAGCCTTGGCAGAGCAGCATTTGAAGAGTACACCATGAGAACGTGCATCCTGATGCCCAGCAATGGTGTGCAATCATGTTTTCCTTCATGCCTGCAAGCTCGCTCTTGAGACATGCTTTAAAGCATCGCGCAGCATCAGTCTGCGGCAGACCACAGTGAAGCTCATGAGAGGTCAAAACCCAAAAGCATCAGCTTTTATCATCATCCCCAAGAAAGTTCGAAGAACTCACAGATTCGCATCGCGAACCGCCTGCCGGAGGTTTTCCTTGCCATTCACAAACAGAGACACAACCTCCGGATCATTGTGGTCTCCGTCGCGGTCATCAAGCTTCTGAGCCTGAGCTGAAAGGGAAGCACCAAATAATTCGAGGCAAGCTGAACAGAATAGAAAGTCCATGCCAAGCAGCCACAGCATACATCACAGTGAGCAGCTGCTGCATGTCGGCGCCGGGCACAGCCAAGTAGAAGACCTGTATACACAGGGGTTGGGACAGAAAACGGATGGGGCATTAAGGATGACTTGGCCTGCCTGCTGCATGGTGCCGCGCAGCTTGAGGCCAACCGCTGTCCGACTCCAGTAAACATCCAATGTGCTGCGCTTGTAGAAGTTGTGCACTGGGACCCGGTTTGGCTTGGCACTTCTGGCTGCAGTAGCAGCGGATGGGCGCTTCAGGGCTTGCACTTTCCCTTGTGGGGTCTGATCACGCATGTTCTTGTTATCAGCCTGCTTCTTGGGCTTGCCCCTAGCTTTCGCTGCTGCTTTTGCTTTACCGCTGGTCTGGGCTTTCGCTGCAGCCTTTGCCTTGCCCTTTGCTTTCGCTGCTGTTTTGTCTTTACCCCTGGTCTTGGCTTTCGCTGCAGCTGCTGTTTTGCCCCGTGGCCTGCCTCGCTTGGGCTTGGCTTCCTCCCGTTCATCATCATCAGCGTTGTCATGGTCATCATCCTGCTCATCTGCATCATTGTCCATTGCCACATTCTTATGGCTGCTGCCACGTCCCCTGGCAGCGCGGGGGCCTTTTGCTGGCTTCAGCTGCTTAACCAATGCTTGCTGCTCGTCTCTGCTCAAGAAACAAGGGTCATGATTCCCTGGTTCCTGCTCGGCCTCATGCATCTGGCTGGCTGCTATGGGCAAGGGTTCGTCCAAGGTTGGGGCAACAGGTTCGGCCTGCCCAATGGCCAAATCCTTCCGCAGCACAGGATGGTCCTCAGGTGTATATAGCCACTGCAAGAACCAAATCCTTTGGGGGGCATGGCAACACAGGCTGGTCCTCGTCCAGGAGAGACTCCTTGGCATTCATACGCTGCATAAGCTCCTGCCCGTCCTGCAAGCAAATAATTTTCAGAAGGAACTTCAAAATCATGAACCGTATACCCTGTCCTTTCTGTTCTCAGCAGGAAGCGGGGCCGCATCGGTGGCCCTTGAAGACCTCGATGGGTGCTCCTCGGCTCCGCGGATGGTTTTCACCTTGGAGGCGCAGGGCATGAAATAGGAATTCTCATGGTAGTACATTAAGCAAGCCAGCGGCAATGCAATTCACTTGCTTCTTGGCAGCCCACTTCTCTTCCAGCAAGCGCCTAAATTGCATGGGCACTGATTCAGGCAAACCCAACACAATGCCTGTGCATATATATATGAGGGCAAGAGGCTCAAGTCGGGCAATCTTCTCATCCAGTTCAGGGGTGCCATCAGACTTGTCCAAGGCAGCTTTGGAAGCCGGGGATGGGGTCTGCAGCTGCAGCTGGGTCTCTGCCTGGGCAGGGTCAATGATACCGCCACTGGTCGCCGGAGGTGGGGGAGGGGCATCCATTGACTCCCCCTCATCTTCATTCATAATCTCTAGGGAGACGCTGTCTCCATCCTCATAATCCTCCTGCTCGGGATCCCGCATTTTATGAGGACACAAATGACAAGCATATCACAAGAAAAACATGTATGTACAGTGCCATGTCGGTGCCTCTGCTTCCGCCTTTACTAGAGCAAGGCCATGATCTGGATCGATGGCTGGGTCGTCATCATCAGAACCCGATTCCATGGCTTCACCGCCAGCATCATCATCATCATTGCGAAACCAGGCATTGATGAAGACAGCGAAGAGCGCCTTGACCTTCGGATCCTGAGTGAGGGCATGAACATGTGCAAGTCCACTGTTCTTTGGGCAGCTCTGAATGTATTGCAGTAATGCGTCCTAAAGGCTCGCGGCTTGTGTCCAATCTTGATTCTGCGAAGGCAGTAGCTCATCAACTTCTTACAGCCCCAAGATTCAGCATGCATTTGCACAGCGCTGGGCATCTCCCTGCCACAGGTGCTCCCAATCATCTTCCAGAATTCCTTCACCTTAGCAGGCAAGGAAAGTTGGCAGGGCTGCACAGGTCCTCTTGAATTCTCCTAGAAAGCTCATCCAAGACACCACTCGAGAAAGGGCTACCACCGGAGGAGATTTGGCAATCTGGGAAGTCTCGAAATCATACTTCGCCACCCACTCCTTGGAGAGGACGGTCAAAGCATCGCAGTTGAGGACCAAAACCTTCCTCAGCTGTCAGGCAACCACATAGCTGAGACTGTTGCTGTTCAACAACATCCACGTTTATTGCATGCAAAGCTCATCGTAGCAACCCCCACAGTTTCCGGGCTCGGCCAAGTGATGAGACGCCCTATCTCCCTGGCCTGCCTCCTGACAGGATTGCTATCTTCCCAGGCACTTGCCAGGCCGTCCAACATGGTTTTCGCCATGACCCCTTAACAGCAAAGCAGCTATCAACGCCCCGGCTAGGTCAAGCCAAATGTGTCAGGTGATCGGGTGTGAGGGTTTCATGTCATGCCAAATTGCCAGCATCTCGAAGAATAACGTGTCAGGTTTTCTGAGCACCATGCCATCCACACAGCAGCCACGCGCGGCTTGCCTGCACAGAGCTGCATGCACTGAATGACTATGGAATCAAACAATGTGCTCATGTGAAAACTGTATGCTGCACCCTCACAACTTTTCATGCCCTGAGCTGGAGCTCCAAAAGCCGTCAGGCTCTCCACTGGCCTTACGTCCTTGCAATGCAAAGGCTTCTCTAATCCTCGGCTATCTTGTCTTGTTTGGGCGAGTCAGGCCCTGCGGATGCTGCCAGGGATGTCGAGCTGGCCTTGGCGAAGGTCAGTAATGGGGATTGTTGTCAGTATTCCTAAGTCTTGGTATAGGCTCCATACGGAAGAGCCGCAGTCCAATCCTGGGGAAGGCTCACAAAACAAATGTCCGAGAACATACATGCATGGAGAGGATTTGCTTGAAGCATTGCAGTCCTCGGTGTGCTTTGACAAGATGTCGCACCAACCCAGTCGAGTCGTCATTGGCAATCAAGAGCTGCATATTGCCAGGATCTGGCTTCTGCGCCTGAGTGAGACACAATGTCAGAGACCAGGGGCTTTGGCCAAAAAATATAGAGTGCATGATCCAGACAGACCCAGGTACACTGCCGTAGAACACAACCAAAACTTCTTTCCAGAACTCGTAGGAGAGGTCGGTCAGTCCTGCAAATGCTTTGTTTTGTCTATGACGTCCTATGCGGGCATCTCTACTAGCTTATGGAAGGCTCCTCGCTTGTCCAGCTCTGCCCGAAGATCAGGATGAGAATCCATAAACTTTTCCATAGCTTGTGATGGGAGAAGACGGGCACCGAATCTTGGATCTTGGGAACAATATGGCTATGCATTGCAGTTTGTGCTGCAACCCTTGAAGAAATCATGTTCAGCATCCAGGAGAACTATGCAAAGGCCGGGCAGGCCTTGAAGATCAAAGGCCCATCGTCGACCTCACATTGTGAGAATTATGATTGGGTGATCTTACACGAGAGACATGCATCCGATAAGCTAAGCATCAGGCCCCGTGGTACCCATTCAGGACATCAACTGCCCTTCTAGGAGCCAACAGCTCTGGTAGGATGCTTTTATCTCATGCCCGCAATACCCAAGCAGAGAGAATTCCTGAAATGCAGAAAACTGCACCTTTCTAAAAAAGCGCACATGAACCCACATAATGTCCAATAACACGGTTATTTTGAAAGACACTGTTTTTTTAGGTACAAAGGCTACTCAAGGTAGGTAAGCAGTAAATCCAAAAGCTGTTCAAGGGAAATTGCGTTTTTGCTTTATAGTTTCGGATTGAGGCTTTGAGGTTTAAGCTACGATTTCTCAGGATAACGGCCCCCCCAACAATCCTGAGCAATCCTAGGGTACCCATCGAATTGTGAAGGGGCTGTAGGTTGGCCCGTCAAGGAATGCATGGGCTAATTTGTGAAACTCCTGCTTCATCCAATTACCATGTAAGCATGCAAGCACCCCTAGCAGTGGAGAATGGTAGCAGGAGCTTAGGACCCAGCCTTAGGGCTTCGGAAAGCTTTCTGCATGTTACGCAAGAAATCAACCCCAACTTCGTCGCCAATGTCGCTTGCCCTTTTGCAATGTGACATGTTGCAACGGGCATAGCGTGAGGCAAAAGTTGCCTGTCGATGTCTCGACTAAGCAATTTTTCTTCGTGATGCATTCTTAGATTGGACGGTTCGTGACAAGTGAATACGAAGCTGCAGTGGAAAAAGATTGCAGGTCATGCGAGGTTTGGAGCTTGTGAAATTACGGGACAAACGAAGCCTCTCATGACTCCCGCGAAGTGTTTGTCACAGTTTTCCACTGAAACGTGACAGAGTTTAAGCTCCCATCCGTGCTTGCCACGCAGCGACCTCCTTCGAAGAGAGACCAATGAATGTCCGTCAGCATCTGCATGAAAATGAAAACGGGCCCCTTGGGCGG